GGGGGGGGGGGGGGGGGGGCACAGGATGTGGGTGCAGAAGCACTGGGAGCAGGGGCTCTACCCTGCTGCGGTCTGCCCATTCAAAGATTGGTTAATGGTTACTTCATTGGTATCTCTCTAAGGAAGTAACCATTAAATGGGCTGTGAATGTTTCTAATGGGGTCCGACAGTAATCATTAGGCCTGATGCTAATCAGTTACCTGGAAGTAACCAAAAACATGACTGTTGGTAGTTTGTGCAAGGGAAAAAGACTAATGAAAAAGTAAATAGTGAGAAAATCAGGAGACTCGGAACACTATTAATTACTTGTTAGGCGGGCTCAGGTCTAACAGTCAGCTAAAGCCAAATGCAGGCCATATCTACAGAAAGCAAGGGGCAATGTACACAAGGAACTTTAACAAAGTCCCAGTCCTGTGCTGGGACTGGTCAAGGAAAATGTTCCTATAACATGTAATACTGTGAAGCAAAGAAACAATTTTCATATACATCACTGACAACACCCGTTTTCTATTTTTAAACTAATATTAGAGAAGATTCTGACAGTAAGTTATTTGAGGGCCAGAAAATTGCTTTACAACAAGAAGTTAAATAACAGATTGAGTAAATTCTATGCAGTATCTATTTTGGGGGCAGAACCAACATGAGGCAGGCAACACAGCAGTAGATCCTTGTGAAGAGAATACAAGGCAGGGAACAAAGCAGAAGACTGAGCACGCAGTAAAGGGCAGGAAACAAAGCAGGGCAAATTATTCGGTAAGGGAAGGGGGTCAGAGTGACATGTTGAGACGGTGAAGGGCTTACTTTGCTGTTTGCCTGCCAAAAAGGTTAGTCTCCACTGAGGTACAGTATCAGAACACTTCATTAATGTATTTCAAGAACAGCACCATTGTTTGACTCTTCAGACTAGTGAAGTGTCCACCAACCTCATATAAAAAGAGAACTATTATCTGAAACAAACTGACCCCACTCCTTGAGATTATTAGTAGAGATTAGTTCCACACCAGAAGCCTCTCCCTGTATTTTAGTCATTTGCTTCCCCAAGGAGTTTATCAGTTCGATTTGCTATTTACATACCCTGAATTTCTCCAGTTGTCTCACTTTCATTATAAGATTTTCTATTTCACCATTCTTTTGTTCTAACATGGATTGCAAACGTTCCAGCTGCTCAATTTCTGCTTGAGAACCTTTTATCTGTAGCAGCGTAACCATCTGTAGCTAAAATATCAAGCAGAAACACCAAGTAAAGCCAGTCTGAGAATTCTTAGTTAAAAAGGGAATTTAAGGCACTACAGCGGTAGCTAAGCATATTCCAGTGTTTACAGTTCTTTAAATTATTCTTTTCTGGACTCTATCAGCACTGGATACTTATCTTACTCTTCCTATTAGGGATAACAATTTAAGTAACAAGGCCTTTTCATAACTGTTAACTGGTCCAACTCAACTTGGCCTTTCATATACCACAGTTTTTTTGTGCATCACCTAGTAATTCTGCTCTGAGACAACTCCATTAACAATTACATAGATTGCACTTAAGGAAAACTAAAAACCAAGTGTAGAATATAACTTGATATCAGAAGGAACCTTATGTATTAAAACTGCTTGCCACTAGAGGCAAAAACCTAATGCAGTCAGCAGATCAAAGTAGATGTTTATGCAGTCTTCTTCCTAGAGACAGCTCCTATTGATTAAGACCTCATGCAATGTTCACTACATTTCAAACGTATGGTTATCAAGCACATTTTTATTAGATGTAGAAGTAGCATTAAACAGATTTTCAATTTTACTTTAACAAAGTAGAGACCATTTAAATGTCAGTTCAAGTCTATTAGCACATTTACTTTTGCCATCATTTTCAAGTAACATTTACCAAAATAGAAAAGAAAATTTTAAATTTTATTTTATAGCTTGTTTTCTGGCCTGCACCGTCCAAGAAACCCTTTACTACATAAATGTTGAAGTGACAAATCGAATCCTCTACCTTAAGATGTAACAAACTCATTAAATTAAACTAAAGTACATTAAGAGCCAACTTAACATTACGCTTAAGTGGTCAGCAATATACATCTATTTAATAGTGTAACCTCTAAATGATGCTGCAGCAAGAAAACTGAGTTAGAGTTTACTAGCTAAGAAGAAAAACATATGCATGCTCAGTAGCCTTATATTAACTTATATTTACTTAGAGCTAAACTGTCATGGGTTCACTTTCATCTACAGTGAAATAGGAGTTTGCAACTGAGCAATCAGAGTAGCTGGCATTTAAGTCAAACCCTTGTTTATTTGCAAGAGGTTGCTCACACACTCATGTCCTTTACTACTGGCTCAAATTCTTATAACATCCATCATCATTATTCATGTTGTATTTGATCCATCTCCAGCTACTGCCCTTCCAATTACAAAATATAATTATGGCCATACCTTCATTCTTTGCAATTCACCTCTAGTGAATGCATGCTGCTTGTGTAGAGACTGGTATTTCACTTTAAAACTGATGAGTTGACGTTCCATTTCTGCCCTACGGTCCTCCACCTACAAAAGAAATACGTAATGATTGTAAAAAAATTGTTACTCTAAAAGCCAATTTTCAAAATCTTAGTTAACCAACAGCAAATTACCAATGATGTTCTGGAAGCGTGGCATTTTTAACAAAAGGAAGCTTATGTTCATAAACCTCAAAAGATGTCTAACCCAGAACGTATACTGGCATTCTTTTTAAAACTTCAGTGGAGATTTTACCTTTAATTATAGCATGAAAAGCTAACGCTATAAGTTTCTTGAGCCAACCTGGATTTGCCTAACGTACACTTTGCAATTTCAATATCTGTATATGGGAATCTACCAGACTTGAGGAGGCGGCCAGCCAATTTCACGGGCAAATCCTGGGAATGGCCACCATGTTTGTGTGCTGAGTGTAGTGTCCCCCCTGCCCTTCAATTGGCCAAGGGACCCTGGTAGTCCCACCCCTCCCTGCAAATTGCCACATGGCCCAAAACTGTGGCTTAATTATCCTGATTAAGTGCAGGGAAGCCATTAATCTCTGCATTAAGCATGGATAAAAGGCTTCCAGGACATAATCAGGGTAATTTAGCCACAATTTCATGCCATCCCCAAACTGGACCATGGGTCCGGGGCAAGCTGTGGCAGGCAGCCGGAAGACTGCAAGAAGCTGCACGGGGTCCAAGCCCCAGCATGGCTTATAGCCAGTGGCACGTGCCAACGTGCAATAAGTGCTGGGGCTCCATGGACCCCAGTACAACCGCTTTCAGGCTTCCAGCTACCTGCCCCAGCCAGCCCACAACCATGGTCCAGCTGCCTGTGCAGCCTCCCCACCACCACTCCCCCGTCCCCTACCCAGCTCCCACCTACTCCAAGACTGCACCCCTTTCTCTGCTTGCAGTTAAGGTTTTTTATGGTTTTGTTTTGCAGCAAGCCTGCCATTTTTCACAGAGCCTGATATTTTTTGTGGAGCCTGCCCAAATCTCATGGTTTCCATGAAAATCCACAATCATGAATTTGGTAGGTCCCTATCTATATGAAGTCCCTTAACTAAAACTGGTTTACAGGAAAGAGTCAAAATTAGAACCAAAACTAGGTGTCCAATTGAAATCTGACCTCCATTACCTGAACCACTTATATTTGTAAACTCCTGCAATTAATAAGACACATGTATTCAGGCATCTATACTAGGTTATATACCAAGTCCATATACCTTCCACCCCATCCCAGATTTGTAACATAGAACTACTTAAATCTCCAAACAGAATACATAGAGACAGCCAACTACATAATATTCCTTACCACCTGACTCATGATACTGATGTAGCTTAAGATACCACCCACGTTAGGGGGGAGGGGAGGTGGGGAAAATAGTCTACCATAAATTCCATGCAACATTAAACTTCCCCCTCCTCCCCACACTTCATTTTCTATGCCAAAAATAAAGAAATTAAAACCAAGGTGTACTGATCACTCCCCACACACAGTGGAATAGTTATTTTTGATAAAGAAGAACCATACTTAATTCTTCAGGAACACAATACTTAAAATGAAAGTACAAGTATTTCTTGTTCTCGTCAATGAATACAACCTGCATTTAATAATGACATAAAGAATTATTACCTCAGCAAACAGAGAATTGCCCTTACTAGTAGGGTCCAAGGAATCCTGCAGTGCATGATCCAGCTGAACTTGAAGGTCCTGGTTAACTTCATGAGCTTTCTACATTATAACCAGAAGAACAGTGGTCACCAGGTGTCAGTTTATACAGAAAGAGCTAAAGTACGAAAGTAAAAAGACAGTACCATAGGACCTATTTTCCATACCTTGAACTTAGGTATTATTCTTTAGCATAGTACTTAACTGTGCATGTATTTCCAGCCACAGACAGTTGATATTTATTGTGTGATGCTAGATACAATTTAGCTCAATTTAGCCAATATCAGGATTTAGACTGCTGTTTTACGATGAATGTGGATTCATAGTGTTTAGACTAGTCTATTTAAACTATTTCAATACTGGATATTTAAGCCCTAATTCCAACCACTGGTCTCCTTCTCTTCCCAACACATTAAGGTTATCTGAGACATTAAACAAAAGCCATAATGAAAATTTGCACTGGTGACCTGATAAGTGCTCAAGTTCACACAACTGTGAAAATTGCTGCCCCGTTATTTCCATACTTTTACCTCCTATCAGAATTTTTCAACAGCTTTAATGGAATATCCCAACATAAGACTGTTCAGCAACAAGGGATCTAGATCCAATAAATACAAAGTACCCTACGTCTTTTCCTCCTGCTCTCTTCTTTCGTCACAAATCAGCTAGCGCCCCCATTTATACAGCTCAAAAGGTCCTCTAATATTCTTACTGGAAGCTCCTAGGCTGAACCAAGCTTCCTAAACAGTTCTTCCAAAACTCCTGCAATCAATTAGCATTGGGACCAACTTGGTAAATTATGCCAGCTGACGACAAATTCATTTAACTTTTGTTTTAGGAGAAAGTTTTCCATTTGTTAAATTGCAGTTTATCAAGCCTCCATGATGGGATGAACGAAAGATGTTGGGAAGATACCTGGCAATCAACTTCTCCTCTTAACCAGATTTTACCCTAACAGAAGTTAAGAAGCAGTGAAATACAACAGTTGGGGGGCAGGGGAGAGAAATAACCCAGGCATTACAGAAAAACATTAACTGGAAGTGGAGATGCCCTCCATACCATCCCAGAGGTTTGTAACATAGAATTATTTGGATGCCCACTTGATAGAACCTCACTATGAAATGATACCTCTACAAACAAATGGAAGCCTACTTTATTAACCCTCCTCATAAGGCTCAGAACACTTTCTGCAATGTCTCTAAGTATCATATTTTCTTGCATACAACATGCCCTGGTATAAAATATGCACCTTGTTTTCTCAAAGGGAGAAAAAAGCAGGGGAGAGTAGTAACAGCTAGGGAGCTGAGCCTGTTCACTGTTCTCCCTATAAGCCATGTGCAGATTTTACTTTTGCTTTTGCTCAGTACCCAGCAGAAAATGCTCTTACCATACACTTCTGGCATATGACATAGATGGCAACTTCTAGCATGTAGGGTTTTTGTTTTGTTTGGGGGGAGGGGAAGCGGGAAGGGACATGCTTGTTGTATCCAACAAAAGACAATACACCTAATAGCTTTAACCCCCTTTAAAAAGTTTTCCAACTGCCTAGCACAAACTGGTAAAATGTTAAACAACTTTTTATCTACAGCAGACTGCAGCCTTAATTCTTCAAATGGAATCCTGAAATGAGCACCTGGATGGAATGGGCACCTAGATGGAATGGGAATCCTGAAATAAGCACCCACCCCACCCCCCCACCTTAAGTACAGCTTTTGGGAGGAGACAGTTGCTCTCTCAGAACCAGAAAAAAAAAATCATATACTAGAAGTCAAATGACTACTATAACATATTTTAAATTAAAAAAAAAACATTTTTGTCATGGCTTGTGTTTGCATAGTGTACATAGAGGCAATTGCATAATAACTCAAGAAAAGTCTTACTCTTGTATGGTGGGTAGGTAAGTAAAATGGGCTGTATGGGGGTACGTACATGTAGGGGGTTGTGGGGGTAGGGTGTGGGTGTGGAGGAGGGTGAGGACACCCCGCACACACACCCCCATATGGCGCACAGCCCCTGCTGCCAGTGGCAGCAGCAGAACATGGTGGGTGCTCATGGCCTGCTCAGGCACTGTTGCATGGTGGTGCACGGCTCCAGCCAGCGCTGCACATCATGACAAGGAGCACAGACAGGCTACCTGTATCACAAGGGGCTCCGTGCAGTGCACGTGCAGCTCCCAGCATTCATGCACCCCCGGGGGAAGACTCACACAATGGAGCAATCTCCCTTCCCCACTCCCTGCTTTGCAGGTCTCAGGACTCCTCTGGGAAGCAGGGGGCGGGGCTCCCCTCCACTTCTGCGCAGAGTCCCAGGACCTGCACAGCAGCAAGCAGGGAAGGCATCCAGCTCCATTGTGCAGGGCTTCCCCCAGTGAGGCACAAGTGCTAGGAGCTGCACATGCACTGTGCAGAGTCCCATGCAAGGCAGGCTGGCCTAGCTGCACTCCTCACCACCACATGCAGCGCTGGCTGGAGCCATGCACCACTAGGCAGCAGTGCCTAGAAGACCACAAGCATCCTGTGCACCTGCCATCTGCTGGCAGCAGAGGCTGTGCGCCATGCCAGGGAATGTGGTGGGGGGTCCCCACACCTCTCTTCCCTCCCACACCCACACCCTACCCACCCGAGCTCCGTGCTCCTGTCAGCCCCCTGGGCACGGGCTCTGTGCTGCCACTAGCCCCAGCTGCGGGCTCTGCACCTCTGGCCAGCTGCAGCTCCCCCTCTGCCCTACCTGCTGTCTGGAGCGAGCAGGATGCCGGGGAAGCCGAGGAGGTCCCCTGGCAGCTACAGCCTTGTCTGGGAGCTGCGTGCTGGCTGGGCTGGGCTGGGCCGGGCCAGGCCCAGGTCCCTAGCTGGGGGCCCCCTCCAGGAGGACAGGGAGTGAGGGGCACAATTAGGGGTAGGGGGCAAGGGCATGGGTAGCGCACCAACATGTCAGGGCTGCTCAGCACCACAAAGCAGGGCGATGGATGGATGGATGGATGCACACATACACACTGTGGTTTTTCATTTTCATCACAAAAAACGTGGGTTGGGGTTTTAAATCAGAGAATTTGTAATTTTTAAAACAGAAAACCAAGATCCCTGGTATTCATATATGGATTTGAGTGGTGTAAGTCTTTAAGCAGAGTACCTCTAATGCACTATAGTAATAAACTATTTCTTTTTCTCTCTCTTCTTTTTCTCCTTGAAGACGTTCCAACTGGTTACGTAAGTTGCTATTTGCAAGTTCCAGTTTTTCTTTATTGCATTGCAATTCATTCACCTTTTCTTCAAGATTAGCCTGGCCCAAAAAAAAAGTAAATAAAAGGGTAGCCAACAATTAGTTTTTTGGTATTTGTATTTCTGCTTCTCAATAGTAGCTCTGGAGTCCCCTGTGGTTCAGTGGTAGAATCTGTGTCTGCCACACAGGGTTTGATTCCCTGATGCTTATACAAACTACAGCCATGGAAGCACCAAACATCTGGCCTTTGGATTCTGTCTCAATGACCTAAAGGGGAGATGAAAGTTCTGGGCAGCCTCCACTCCTCCATACTTCTGCCTAAGCATACGCGTCAAAGGTCTGGGTGACCTCTCATACATACAGTATGATCCAGCAACATCAGTCATTGCCATCCACCAATAATAGCTCTGGCATAGTAAACTGCTTCTTTAGAGTAATATTAACTGTGTGTGTGGGAAGGGTGTTACTAAAAGGTGAGAGCCTAACCTACCAAGAAGCACCTCATCCATTATTACTAGCTTGTTAGAGGACTTTTATCATCAAGCCAATCTGTCCAAAGAGCAAGGCATAATGATCTGTTTTCTTCAAACTGGTTAAATCAATCAGAAAACTGAAAAGACAAAAATTAAATCTTGTTCATACCATTTTCTGCTGATTTCCAAGTATTAATCACTTACCTTCATGTTTTCAAGTTCTGTTAATTCAATCTGAAGATTTAACATTTCAGAAGACATAGTTTCATGTACACGTTCAGACATCATACGCAATTCTTCTACTTTAGCAGTTATTATCTCCTTCTGATGTTCTACTTTATGCCTTAGTTGCTTCTCACTTAATCGGGTTTCATCTAGTTCTGCCTTCAGATTCTCCAACTTAAAAAAAGATTGAACAAGTTATAACTATCAGTTCCAACTGTACAGTGCTTTTATGATTTAAATATAGATGACAGCAGAGTTAGGAATACTATTTAGCTCCCAGCCATTTAGGGCGCTGACACGAGGGGGGACAAACAGCCCCCCAAAAAACAGCGCTTTCCCAGAAGACGAAGCACATTAGTTCGACCCAGCTCCCCAGTGTCTATAGATAGGGCACTTCAGCAGGGCTTTGTTGAGCTTTTATCTAAAGTTGATTCAATCAGCTACTAGATAAAAGTTTCAAAAAGCCCCACTGAAGCATGTGATCTATAAAGATGTTGGGCAAGCCAGGTCAAACTAACGCAATGCCTCTTTTGGGCATATGCTACGCTCAACACAGGTACGTGCTGAGCTGAAAGTAAACCACCACCATTTTTTCGTTTTTTTCCATGTCTTGAAGCAACCTTGAAGTTATTTCTTAAACTGATTCTTAAGCTATCAGAAACCTAGGTTGTTTTGTTTTTTTCCTGTGAACAATGAATTCCTCCTGCAATAAAACAAAATTGTACATTACTAAAGAACAGCTAGCTTCATTTAATTGCATAACATGCACACATATTATCTTAGAAAGCACAGTATCACTTGGTTCCACAGCAATTAGTTTTACCCTGTTGTCCATTTAATTTACCAGTTATTTATTGCTACAATACTAGAAAGCTTAAATCTAAAATGAATTGTCAGAAAAACTAATGGTAGCTATATTATTTCAGAAATCAAATCAGCCAAACGCAAGTGAAAATAGAAGTGAAAAACAGGAGAAACTTGCCTGCATGCTTTAACTGCTCATTTGGTTTGTCTGAATGTTAAGTGTGCAATTATTTCTCTATCTCTATGCCTGGAAAAAAAACCCCATTATTTAACACCTACATCAGCAACACTTAAGTAAGTACCAAACCTTGTTCTTGAGGTCACCAATTTCTTGTGCATGAGTTCGTTCCAGTTGTTCTCGTTGTTTCTCCAGCTGCACATTTTGCTGCTGCTTAAGAGCGTCACATTCAAAACTCAAACTTTCCAACATTCTGTTCTTGAGTTCAATTTCTCTCTGAAGTGAGAATTTCTCTTGTTCAAATGTCTGAAAGAAATAAGTCCACGTTTTTTGTTGTTCTTCAAGCATTTTAAAAATATTTTACTGCCTCTGATCTCTTGAGACTCAATACCAATTAACTGCCAGAACCAACCACCACTTCCTTTCCTATTTCGTGGCCTTGGGACAAGGTATTTAGCAGAATTCACTGACGTGTTAGAATCTGACAGGGCCACGTGCTGCCATGGCCTCACACTTGCTATCTCTGGGCTGTCAACCACATTCCTTAGCACCCACACCACCTCAGTCCCCAAACCTGCACTGACAAGTTTTTTGTATCAGCAAAAGTCCTCAGGTGCTCAACTGCTTAATAACAGCCTCATATCATTGTCACAGTTAAGAGCCATCCATCCAGAGCTAAAGCTTATTTGGATGTGCAACTTTCATCCACTTCCCTAGACAGCCTACATAGTTTTCCCAAAAATGTTCATTTGCTGAAACATGTGACATAATGCCTGGAGTTATCAGTCACAAATCAGGTGATATGACCAGTCATGTTTCCAGTAACATGGGAACCACAAATTCAGCCAAGTGCTTAAGTTCTCCCCACCTCCCTGCTTGTGATAGAAACTTGTAAACTTACACACACTGTTAGCCATTAAAGAAGTGGAGTTACAATCGTTTATTATAAATTAAATATTTTCAAGACCACTGAATAGTTTGACCTACAAACCTGGAAGACATCCTCCCAGATAAACAAGTGGCAGGCTCATTTTAACTGGCAGCGTTTCAAATACTTATTGCATATTTTGTTAACAGTATACAAAACAGAGCCTGATTTTCCTGTGCATTTTAGACTGGCAGTTTAGGAAAAAAGTGGCTACCTGAAGGCAAAACAGTATAAATGCATAAATTAAAAGAATCAAATATTACTGCCTTGATATTGATTACATAAACCTATAAAAACCTTCGTTTTGTTTTAGGTTTTTAAGTACTCATCCACTTTAAATTGGTTTGATACTATTCAATTTAAACAAACATCCTACTTCTGGAGTAGTCTAGATTCCTCTTGATCCTCTGCAAGCCTCTTGTCCTCTAAGGGTGCCTATTACACACAAGCAGGGAGGCTGCTCTGACACATGTTGAAGCAGACTCAATAAATCAAGTCTGCTAGAGCATGGCAATTACTGCGCTCTAGCAGCCTCTCGCACCTCATGTCTTAGCAGGTGCGCACTTCAAAATGGCAGCAGGGGTGCTTGGCCCAAAGCTCATTCGAAGCTGCCATTTTGAAGTGCAGGGACACTGATGCATGAGAAGCTCCAGGAGCTTTAATTAGAACAGTTCTCAGAGCCGCTCTAATTAAAGCACCTCCCTCTGCTCACCCCCTCCCCAACTCCCAAAGTACACATTATAAACATCCTAAAGCGACATCCAGATGAGCATGGCCACGCAATGTGGCACTGCAGATATGCCTACGGTGCCACATACGGCACGTTCAGTTGGATATCCAGGGGTCAAAATATCTGCGGAGAAAAAAACTGAGTGGCGCATTCATGGGCAGCACATGTTGCGCAAAAGCAGAGTTGAACAGCACAGAGCCACACTGTGGCTGCCAGCCAAGATCAGTGCAGGCTGGCAGCCACAGGAGAAGGCCCCAAGGAGGCCCCAAGTTAAGGCTGCTGGGGCTAGTCCAATGCTGGCCCCAGCATCCTCTACCGCCCCAGGAGTAACTTGCAGCATGCCAAAGTACTCCCGCCCCGGGAGTAACTTGCAGCATGCCAAAGTGCACGTGGCATGGCATTCCCCAGGGACAACTAGTGGCAGCGCGAAGTCTGCCACTACTAGTTGTCCTGGGGAACCAAACATCCACACCACATGTGGAAGCATTCTAAATCTTCAAAGGCAGGACCCTATTAGAGGTGCACCGATACTTCACTCCATATATTATTGGCACTGACAAAAGGAAAATTGACATTATTGGCATTCAGCTTTTTTTAGGTGAGGTAGCCAATAATGTTGTCAATAAAGACCAGCAGCTTGCAGAGCAGTGTCTGGCTGGTAAGTCTTTTGGTAGGGGGGAAGGAAGGGCTATGGGTAGGAGGCATAGATTGAGGCCCCTGCAGTGAAGGAGGGAGTGGGGCTGTGGCTGGGCATCCAGGGCAGGGTGCAGGATGTAGCTCTGTGCAGGGTAAGGTCAGGCTGCCACTACGGGCTGAGGCCGGGGGCAGTGCCAGGCTCAGGGGCGATGTGTAGAGGGTGCACATGCACCCACTGAGAATGCTGGTGCACCCCTTGTCAGGCCACGCTCCCTGTGTAGCCAGCGGCTAGGTGGGAACACCAGTGCCACCCCTGTGAGCACCAGCCAGGGAGCACGGCCACCAGCAAAAGCGGCTCTGCCGCTTCCAAAAGTGGCCACCAGAGTTCCAGAAGTGGCACGGCCACTTTTACTGTGAGCGAGATCAGCTGCCAGGGGCCCCTCCCAGACACTGACATGTGTCGGGGGGGGCAGTACATGCCCCTCCTGACTTGAGGCACCAGATATCCATGGCCAGGCTCCTCCTGGCATGGGGTGGCTGTAGCCCACCCCATAGTACCCCCTCACTGCCGCCACCCACCCCGAGTGCAGCCCCAGCCCAACCCACCTGCTGGGAAGAGCCCAGCGCTGCCCCTAGACCCAGCCTGCAGTGGCACCCAACCCACACCCGCACAAGATCTGGGGGCATGTACCCCCCGCATGGGTCCCATAGGGATGCACATAACAGAAGGATCTGCCATGTCCCCCAGCTGCAGATAGCCCTCAGTTCCATTCCACACCTCACCCCAGATGGGTAGTGCCTGACCCTGACCCTGTCCCAGCCCCACTCCCTCTCTCACCACAAGGGCCTTATGTGCCCCGCTCCCCACATCCCTTTCCCAACAGATTTATCAACTGGACTAGGGGCAGGCAATTATTTCGGGCAGAGGGCTGCTTGATGACTTTTGGTGAGCTGTCGAGGGCCACGTGGGTAGCCCTGCCCCTTCAGTTGCCCCACCCCCTGGTCACCATCTTCGGACTGGACGTCCCGCCCCCTGACCTTTGCCACTGGAAGCCTTGCCCCTTCCCCCTTACCACCGGAACCCCGCCCCCGACCCCTGCCGCTGGAAGTCCCTCCCCTTGCACAACTTACCAGGTAGCAAGGGGTTGTGACCCCTGTAACATCCTGCCCCAGCAGTGGGGCTTCAGGGGCATCAGACCTCCCTCAGAAGTTTCCCCCTACCTGTGCCAGCTGGTCCCAAAAGGAGGAGGCACCACTGCTGCTTCTGCTGGCCAGTGCTGACCCAGTCAGGCTCACCCCATCCCCAGCAGCACCTGGGAAGCTGGCTTCAGCTGCATGCTGCTCCGGATGGGATGGACCCAGCCAGGTCTGCTCCGGCTAGGAAAGGCGGCATGCAGCTGAAGTCAGCTCCTCATGTTCTGCTGGGGATGGGAGGAGCCTGCCCGGGTCTGCACTGGCCAGCAGAAGCGGCAGCGGAGCCATGTGCCACTTGGGATGGGACAAGCCCGGCTGCAGCAGCAGGGGCTCTGCTGCACTTTCCCCCTGCCTGTGCCAGTCAGTCCCAAGCAGCACATGGCTCCACCTCGGCTTCTGCTGGCCAGTGCAGACCCGGCTAGGCTCCTCCCATTCCCAGCAGTATGTGTGCAGCTGACTTCAGCTGCATGCCGTCTTTCCTAGCTGGTGCAGACCAAGCTGGGCTCCTCCTATCCCCAGCAGCATGCAGCTGAGACAGACCCAGCTGGGTCTGCACCAGCCAACAGAAGCAGCAGCAGAGCAGTGTGCTGCTCCAGACTGACTGGTGCAGGCAAGGGGAAAGTGCAGCTGAGCCCCTGCTGCTCCAGCCGGGCTTGTCCCATCCCAAATGGCACACAGCTCCACCACCACTTCTGCTGGCCAGTGCAGAGCCGGTCGGGCTCTTCCCGTCCCCAGCAGCACATGACGAGCCAACTTCAGCTGCATGCTTCCTTTCTTGACCGGTGCAAACCTGGCCAGGTCCGTTCCATCCACAGCAGCATGCAGCTGAAGCCAGCTTCTCACGTGCTGCTGGGGACAGGGCGAGCCCGGCCAGGTCTGCACCAGCCAGCAGAAGCGGCAGTGGAGCTATGTGCCACTTGAGACTGACCAGTGCAGGTAGGGGGAAAATACAGCTGAGCCCCTGCCGGTCCGGCTGGGCTCATCCTGTCCAGAGTGGTACATGGCTCTGCCGCCACTGCTCCTCCCTGGAGCTGACTGGGCAGGAGCTGTGGCCCAGCTGCTGCTTCCACTCCCCAGTGCTGGCCTAGCCCAACCCTGCATGGCCCGAGTGGCATAGCACAGGAAAAGCCTGCCCAGCAGCTGCTTTCCTGGGCTTACCTGCAAGGCAGGGCCCTTCCCAGTCCCATGCAGCAAAGCAGAACTGAGCCCAGACACTGTTTCCCCTCACCCGAGCCACAGGTTCTGGCCCAGCCCCACCCTGCCCCTCTCAGGCTGCAGAGGTGGCCTAAGCCAGGGGTGGGGCAAGGCCAGCTGGGTCATGCTGAGGTCAGGGTTGGTTGCCTCACAACCAGAACTCAAGGAAACAGCCTGAGGTCCTGCAGCTGGCGCTGCTGGAGGCTTTTAGAGGCAGCCACCATTAGTGGGTTTTTAAGGGGTTCCACAGGCTGGAGGGAAGTGCTTGGCGGGCCACATCCAGACTGTGGGCTGTATTTTGCCCACCCCTGAGCTGGACACACTGCTCTTCAAGCTGCCAGGGTGCATATCAGCAATCAGATCAGTATTGGCTGATATGGCTCATTACTAATTGGCCATTGGTATCTGCCCAAAACATCTTTATTGGTGCACCCCTAGACCCTATTATATTTTCATCACTCCCTGTGGTAAGACAGTCTGGCCTCAAGAATATTTCTCGAGTCTAGTTAGCATATTCATTTCAAGCACAGAGTTTTAAGATTGAGACCATAGATGCTGCATAGTTAGTTACAGAAATGAAAATTAAGAGAAGGATTAAAATCATTATACAAAATATATAATGTGGCATCTGCAGAGTTACAGCTGGTCAAAGACATTTAGAGTTAAGAGTATAAGTAGCACTAGATGGGCAAAAAAGTTTGGCTGATTTGACCTACCTGAAATGGATAAACATTTTGCTTAGGTCAGGTTAGAGTTTGTTATGCACCTATTTTGAATTATGTCACTTGCACTCACAAAATGGAGCTTTTGGCAGGGCAGGAATAGGAGGCATCCTAGTATCATTTATGCATTACTGGAGTACTTTTGCAAATAAAAATCTTATGATTTGAATTTTCTCCTCACCTGCTAGGTTACCAGCAGCAATTTACCCAAACTTGGTAAAATACAGAACAAAAACCAGACCTTTTATTTTAACAGCAAGAGTTGCCAACAAGACATCCTGACCCAGCCGTAGCAAAAAAAGCACATTTCCAATTATTCTGAAGGCTTCTGATGTCTCCACCTACTGTAAAAACTAACACTTTAATTTCACAAAGGCTGTTTTGGGACCCCAGAGCAGCAGCTGTCAAAAACCAGACCCCTGTTGGGATAGCAGGAGGCAAGAACAACTAAAACAAGATAATCAAGATCACATCTACTCACTATCTACTAATTATACACACAGGTATAAGTGTATTTACTTCCCCAAGAAGCTTATTTTAGCCCCGCCTAGTAGAAATTTTAGGGTTGGTCTCCATGCCTTGTGTTTTAGTTTATTTGAACAAGTTGCAACCCATTTCTGTTTACACTCAATTAAATATGCTGTAATGTGCAAATCAGATGAAGTCTATGGAGGTTCAAACAACTGTGTAAAGCTAATCATCGAGCTATGTTCTATGGTCACCTGCAGCAACATGTAATATAGAATGAAACCAAAAAAACCCCATAAGGCTACAAGCTTAAAAAGTTTCTGCACTTACAAATAATGTACTTCAAAAGCTACTTAAAAACAGATATTTCAAAGCACTGAATTAGTAGCTAGAAACTCAGTGTTCTTTAGCATTTTCTATATTCAGCCAGAATTTAAAACTTCACCTCAGTTTTTTCAGTCAATTCATTGCGCATTTGATCCAACTGATTCTGAACCTCATTCTGAGATTCCAGTAAATGCAAACCATACTGTGCTGCCTTCCTCCGCTCATTCTCTGCTTCCTTGAGTTGACGACGAAGATTCAAAATCTCTTCCGTCTCCATTTTCTTTTTTCCAACTTCTTGAATGCAGGTCAGTTGAACAAGCTAAAAGTTAACATGAAACCATAACCTGTTAAATACCAACTAGACAAAGCCATTATTTTCTGAAAGGTAAGATCCCTTAATAATTTAACAACATAAAGGACCAAGATGAACAGAGGAGTGTTAAACTTGGGAGATTTGGTCACTTTACTCCACAGCTGATTATTCTATATGTCAGCCCTCACTGTCAATGTAAGGTCTATAATTTATGCCATGTATGACTGGACAGGTCAATAACTGCAATAAATCAACTCTGTGGAGTGCTACTGAGGAACTGGCCAGATTTCTGATGCTGCCACAGGATATTAAGCAACCCACAGAGATCCTGTTTAAGACAGGACTTAACATCTGATTCTACCCTTCAAACTCATAGGTATTTAAGCTACCTATAAAGCCAAATAAACTCGCTTAGTTTTTAAAAAAAAATCACCAGATTTGGTACTGGGTTCATTGTGGCTTTTTCCAACTTACATCCCCATTCTAATCAGAATACAGATGCCCATGGAGAAAATTCATACTCCAGTTCCTGCAATTTTAAATGCTATATTCAGTAAAATATTGTTGAGATATAACCATGTTTGGCCTTATTTACAGATGCTGGAAACACTTCAAGTCTGGCAGCTGCAAACCTTGAAGCTCAATACCACAGCAAATACCAGTATGAAATTTGGTCACTGAAAAAAGCTTTTGTGGTAGATTTTAGATAAAAGAGCTCAAGAAGTAGAAGCTGAAGTTTCCATGCTCACTAGATCAATTCTTATGCCATTACTGCTTTAAACTGCTTCCTATCTTGGTGACAACCTTCTATTGAGACTGCATGGCACAGGATAGGAAACTTTGTTACTTTGAATCACACCACTTACCAGACTCCAAACAAAAGATGTCTAGACATCTCAGAACTAGACATAGAAGTATTCAAAGCATTACTTGCAATTTTTTTGCATCAGAGGTAAACAGTTTTGAGCTGGGAGAAATAACTTAAAATGAATTTAAATCACAATTTAAACCATCAAGTGTAAACTCACGATTATAATAAAAAAAGTTCCATTTGTACTTTATTTTCTAAATAAAGCTACAATTTTATTTAACATAACCATTAAATCATGTAGATTTGCAACTAAACATTGTTTATTACTTAGTCATCTATTATAAGGTTTTTCACATATTTTACAATATGTTTTTTGCTTATAAAACTTAAAGATAGGATGCTGGATTAGAAGAACCACTAATCTGCTTGCTTGCAGTTCCCATGTTGTTCCATTTTTGTGAAGAATGCACAATAATGGTTGGTATGCATCACTTGGTAAAATTTAAAATAAAAAACTTTACCAATGCAACAGATAGTAATCTAAATTTATGAAACAAGGAAACTTTTCAGTAAACAAATTAACCCTTAGTGACCTGAAAAATATATTTTAGTACTATATTCTTTTTTCCGTTTGAGATAACAGAATCTTACTTAGATGTGAAGTATAATCTGATAGTCCTTGCTCTATTTCTACAAATTAATGCTGTGAGGGGGGAAAAAAATGTTCATAACTCACCCTCAGGAGTTCATTCAATTACTCAGGATTTTATCTTCAAGGTACAATTTTCGTTTAAGGTTTATTTAATCTAAACAAACAGAAAATATCTTCAGAGCTCTTCATATCATGCACCTCTGACAGAGTGTCTGTTGCTGCATAGTGATTTGCATTTTTAAAAGCTGAGACCCCATAGAAATGCAAATCCTATTGAAATCCCATCCGAAACAGCTGCCAGCTGGCTCAAAAGCAGCCAATCCATACAAGGCTGCCAAGGAACAGTGAACCAGCAGGAGACTTGGAAGAAAATAAAGGGGGGTTCAGAAGGGGAGGAAGGAGATGTCAGGGCCAGAATCAAAACCACATACACCCCACAATAGGGTCACAACTAGGACCCTCTTGTACTTGTATTAACTGCACTGAAGTTGATTGTTAATTTCAACTCAGTCTCTTCCCCAGTTCTCACAACTTCCTCTTCTCAAGCACACAGAGCTATTAATAAGGTTTACCAGCTACTTCCTTACCAAAACAGAGAACCAAAGAAAACAAAGGGAAGGAAAGAGAAAGTTCCATAGCACGTCAAACATAACACTTCAACAAGGCCCGTTACCAATTTCATTTAATGATGAGATTTTATCCTCAATAAACAATTTTGAAAAAAAAAAAGTGTATTTAATCTAAACAAGCAGGAACTTCAGAGGTCTTCATATCCTGCACCTTTTGTGGAAGGAAGGATAGCGACATACAGCCACTATGTGGGGCGAGGGGCAAAAGAGCGTTTATGTTTAATATCATTTAGATTGGCCCTAATCAAGTACAATCATCCCAGGAACTTTACTCATGAACTACCAACGTGGCATTACGAATGAAAAATTCATAGCCTACACTAACTGCAGAATCCTATTTAATTTCAGGTTAAAATAAACTATCAGTCACCTAGTAAACAAGCTCAAGATTCTGGGCAGAAGTGACTAGTCTTATCCTCACTCAGCTCCTGGTCAACATGTTTTTTTAACTGCTCAAAAAGAGAGAGATTAAAGAGAATATAGCTGTTCCTGCACTTCCTGAGAACAGGAGAGCCCTGTAGGTCACTTCTAAACAAAAGTGAGGAATCTGCATCACTTCATGTCAAATGTGATCTAAACAGGCCATATGTGTGAGAACCAGTGATGTATGTACTTCTTCACACCATCCTCCAAGCACAAACAAACTTTTTCAACTACCCATGGGAATTTCAAAGGTTATTTATGTTGAAGCATTTAATGCAAGGTTCTTACATGAGATTCTTCAAGCCCGGGTACCAGGGGTGTTAACACTTGACAGTCGAGCATGCCCAAGTCACTCAGCTTGCATCCCCTCCTGTTCAGTCCCTATCCTCATAGCAGGAAGAGTTGAGAGTAAAAGATGGCTTCATTCCAACGAGCCAGGTAGGACTTCTGCTCTCCAGTGTTGCACTCCCCAGCTGCCTCTGACCACAGAAGAAACCTTTGCAGTCTTGTAACTATCCCTGCTCTTGGGTCACAGAGAGGATGCAGTGGGCCCCGCGCCACTCGGACTGAACACAGCACTCAATGCTTCAGGAATGTTGCCAGGTGTAGGATTATGATCATATTTATACAATAATTTCAACCTCTGGATGAGGTGCAATCAATAACAGGAAAAGTGTTCAACATGTACAACAAATTTGGGGGCAACTAATTGGATGCAGCCTATGCTAAACTCAAGCTGCTCTCAGGAAGTCTCAATGGACTTTTAGGCCTGCCGTCAACATTTTTATGCCTGCTGGCCTCGGAATAGAGAAACGCTTCAACTTTTGATAACCCAGTTCTCACTCCCTCCCTGGCTCGTTAAATGAGCGATATAAAGTAAATAAGACGACCGCTTTGCACACCTATATACATCCCTTTCAGAGTAGGATCGTTTTCCAGTAAATACGATTCTTTGGAGGGTCCGATACGATCCGCTCAGGGGCGGGGCGGCTCCCGTCAAGCCGACCCGGCCCCGCGGCCTCCTACCACCCCGCGCCCGGGCTGTCCCGGCCGCCTCCCCACGCACTCAGTACAGGGGTCCCGCGCCCCGCCCCGCCCCGCCTTATCAACCCCACTCTGTCTCACCAGCCCCACTCCGCGCACGTTGATCTCCAGCGCGGCTCCTCAGCGCGTTTAAATTCGACTCCGGGAGTTGGCGCCCAAAGCTCGCGAGAGCAACATTCCCCACCCCCGCGCTCGGTTCGGCTCCTTTCCTCAGCTGGCTGTCACGCCGCGCATGCGCAATGAGCAAATCTTCAGCCAAGAACTGCGCGTGCGCTATTGGGCAGTTGGGGCTGTATGTGTGGGGCTGTAGGTGTTGGTGGTTGTGGCTGCCTTGAGACCACGCGTCTCGCTGGGGGTGCCGCGCTGCGTGGGGGAGGCGGTGCACGGTCCTGTGTCCGTTTCCACGCACACGGGCTCTTCACAGTGTATCCCCCAGGGGCTCTGCCCAGCCCAGAGGAGAGGTGCCGCCGCCCCGTTGCATCTGTCTCTGGGGCCACGAGTTGCCTCTTACAACACACTGAGCCCCGCATAAGGAGGAGCGCCTGGCTGACAGGAGCTTGTCTCCCTATCCCTTGGTCCCATGAAAGCTCTCCCTAAGAAATCCCTGCCTCTCGCTTACTACTAGGCCACACCATGGCTCACACTACGGAGACACCGCCGTGTTGAAGCAAAGTGGAAAAGTCAAAAGATGCCAGCGATGACATTTGCCTCTTATGTGAAGAAACTGCAAGTCCAAAAGGGAAGTCGGCCCAGCCCAAAACGGCCTGCGGCTGGGGGTGCTGTCCTGAGACCTCAGTCCTGGTTTGGCCAAGGACTCTGTTTTTTTACAGCGCTTCAAACATTCAAAACCCAGTTGCAAAGAAGCGTGGCTCTCGGCGCTCAGTGTTTCTGCACACTAGCTCCTGCCAGCTTCTCGCAGACCAGGCTGAGGAAGGAAACTAATTGGTGAACTCCAGTTAAATATTTGATTGTGGCAGACATGCTGAGCACTGCATCGGCACTTGGCAGGACTGGCAGAATCCCATTCTCCACGGTGCCGTTTAAAAGGCCTAAAACTTGGGAGTGTCTCTAGCGAGAAGGCCTTGTTTCCTTACCTACTCTCCTATGCTAGAGGCCAGCCCCTTTGCTACTACTGCCCCAGTCACAGTGCAAGGGCAAGAAAGGCACCAGCCGGAGGTTCTGACTTCGACGGGGCACCAGGAGTCTTTCCCGTAGCAGGCACAGAGCTGAACAAGCACAACGGAGCAGGTGCCAGCACCAAGCCCAGCAGTGATCTGGATGGCAAGTGGAGTGGAGTGATGTTCCCCTCGGAGGCTTTGCCATGGGAGTTTCAACCTTAAGGGGCAAACAGGGCACCAGGAGCCCGTACTGCTGTCTGCATCTTGGCTGCAGTATCCCAAGCTCATATTGCTAAGAGACAAGCAGCAGGAAGAGCAGCTCCTGCTCTAGTGAGGAGAAGTGCAGGTAACACTTCCCAAATGTGGCACTGTTGTAAACCAGGAATTAAATAAACAACTCTGCACCAGTTATCTGTGATATACTGGGCAAAAATAAAATCCTAATACTGACAGACCACAAACCTGTTTGGAAAACATTACTAATATATGGTTAGAAATACTAGGGGGAAAGCCAATAAGCCACGTTCAGCATGTATGTCATGATCAATTTTTTAGAAAGAACCAGAACTTAAATGTTTTTCAGTTTGTATAAGGTAACAGATTTGGTTCTTGTTGGTAGTAATTGGATTCACAAATTAAATTTGGACTGGTCTAGATAAACGTGGTAACCAAGGTGATTAAAATTAGGGCTATGAATCAGGACATCCTGGATTCTAGTCCTGTTTTTGCCACATGTAATCTGACTACCTACCATGAACACCTTGAGCTCAGTAGCATTGCTGTAAAATAAGGTTAACAGTTCTCTAATTTTGTGTGAAGGGAATTATAAAGATGTGTTGCTGTTGGTACGGCTCAGAAAATATAAAGTAGTTTGTAAATGCTAAATATCATCACTAGCCTCATATATCAACTGTAGGCTAAGTGTCTTGTTAAAACATGAAGCATTTAAAATGACTGAGGTAAAAACACATATTTCAGGAAGAGCCATTAAAAAGATTTTAAGACCAACCCATTACTTTGAACTTCAGCTAGAATCACAAATCAAATTTATGCAGCTGGAAAACTTTCTCAAGATTATATTTTATGCTGCATGAAATGTCTGAGTAAGCCGCTAAACAAAACCAGTTCTTTTTGCCAGTTGCAAGATATATTGTTTACAACTCTTTACCCCATTCTTGATTTCTAAAGCAGGGCTTCTTAACCCCCTGTGGGGCAGATAAGGCGCCTGCAGCCCTGTCATCTTGAGCTGTGGGGCTCCCCTTGGGTCTGTGAAAAGCCCTATGGGTCAGAAGCCTGCACATTAGATTGGGCACATCTAATGGAGCTCAGTCAGATGGGAGCTCAATTAGATGGACTCAATCCTGGTGAATGGAGCTGGATTGAGGTGGCAGAGCCCTGATCCAGGGGCATAGGCTGGATGGAGGCAGCATGGGACCCCAGAGCTGGAGCTGGAAAGGGGCAGTGCAGAGCCCCCGATATCCAGAGTCATGTGGGAGGAGCGCAAGGCCCTGGCTTCTGATCCTGGCACTTGGGTTGTGTATAGGCCAGCTGAGGCCATGTGGGGCCTCGTCCCATGGACCAGCCCTACACCACTCATCTGGCACAGGCAAAAGTTTGAGCACCACTCTTCTGAAGTATTGACTCTTACTGCAGGCTGGCATTCCACAAGGAAAAACATGCTCCCTAATTAGTCCCATGGTGTACTTAATGGCAATATAATATAGTCGTGTATGTTAGGTGTGAATGATTACAGGTTTTTCCACATCAGAAGCAACCACCTCTGAGAATTGCTATAGTTTTCTATCAATGTGATAAATGAAAAATCTAATAGTTATTGAAAGAAACCATACTATAACTATATAGAACCTCTCCATTGCAGGAAACTTGAAAATATGATGTCTGTAGAAATAAAAAGGTTGGGGTTTTATTGTTCGCAAATAACTTCTTTATTACTTCGTGAAACTGTCGAATACTGTAAATGTGTGTAATGAAATAAGCATGAATGAAAGTGTAAATCGTTTTTTGCAATTTGCTGTGTACCATAGCCTTCATTCCGTGATTAGCTTCTTTAGCAGCTTATGTTTCAGCAACCTACATTTAATTCTCTCTCTTTTTTTTCCATTTTAAACTGGGCTTCACCTCAGTAGCCTGTGCCTATAACTGAATTAGTATCATAGCTTCTGCTAATGCATCCCTCTGTTTGACCTCTATCACCTCTAGTGCAGTTTGTGTATTTATTTCAGTGCAGAGAGAGAGAGAGAAACAGTGACTTCAGTTCTGTTTAAACATGTTGACCAAGTTTTTGTGCTCTTGACCCTCCAGAGAGTGTAAATGCATGCATTTGTCTTGTCCCCTCAGTTTTAGCAGGGTCAATAAGCAAACATTCTTTATAACCAGTTATGCTGAGGATTTGCCCTGAAGTAGAGGGATTGTTTCCTTTATCTAGGTCAGGGCTACCCAAGTGGCAGTCCATAGGCCAAAACCAGCTCATTATGTGGTTGAATCAAGTTTACATAGTACAGCATAGATACATATCCAGGGTAGCTTTGCATGTATTAGCTCTGGAAACAAAATAACTGCAGTTGTACTGTGCAGGACCTGAAGAAGCTAACTTCTCTCAGAAGTTTCCAGAAGCAACTAATTGCTAGGTGCTTCAAGTATTGTACCAGAGTTAATTCAGTCCTAGTCATCCTGTGTCTGGAGCATTAAAATTACCAATACTCTTGCTCATAGCATGAACTATATGCAATAAAGTGACACATTTAGTAGAAATTTACATTCTTGTACTGACATTGAAGCATCAGACAAAATCCTGATGCAGTGAAAGTCCAAAAATTCAGCTTTTGTGTTTACACCAAATATATCAGGGAAGTTTGCTCCTTACATAAGGCAGTTTTAGTTTTATTTAAATATGATTCCAGACACACTTGTTCACCGCAGTTCTGTCTGAATTCTTTGAGTACTAATATAGTTTCCTCTTAAGGAGTTCAAGTAGTCTAATCTGTAAAGCAACGGATTGAAAGCCATAATGATGTTGTTTCTAATCCTTGGTGACCTACCTAGTGACTCCATGACCTTTTCAAAGGACGTGGGCATGGGAACAGAGGCAAAGTTGGCAGCAAACTGCATCATAGCATGAATAAGCAGCCTCTATGTTTGAAGATCCAGGAAATATAGAAGGCTCAACATTGAAAAAAGGTGTTTGAAAATTAAGAATCCATTGTTCATCCATAGGTAGATGTGCCACTGTTGAAGAAGTGCTATGCTGCTTTCAGCAGTTTTTCTATCTGCAACAACCTGATTTATCCTGGATTAACCTACTCCTACATCAATGGCTCAGATTTCAAATCTCACTGCATATCAGTCATCCCAAAATAAAGCAGGCAAAATGGAGCTGAAATAAATTTTCAGCAAAAATGATGATCAGCTCTGCAAAATACAGGTAATGTAATATATGTCAAGTTTTTCTTCCTATTTATTACCTTATAAAAGGACTGTATTAAAATTACTTTTTCCCCAAAAGTACCAATATCCTCACTGTTAGAATCTAGCCTCTCCAAAGGAGTTGGACAGTTGGAAAGGATGTGTATGCAGGGGAGCGGTGGCAAGGGAGGTGGAAGGAAGTCCTTTTTGGTTATTCTGAAGGGCAACAGTCCCAAACTGTTTCAGACCAAAAGGCAGAAACTTTACAACAGAGGACCTTCCACTTCAAATATAAAACACAAGCATTCAAATAAGAAAGACAAACATAATCCACCATTGGTATTGTCCATACTGTAATTGTGTAATCAGATTGGAGGGATTTTTGTTTTGTTTTTGTTCAATTCAGCCAGTTCCATGTACAGCTTGAATGGGACAGAAGGTAAAATATTATTGTGACCGCTGGGTTTCGATTCCCCGCCCTCGGGTGGTTCCCCTTCTGCAGGAAGATGTCACTCCCCTCTCGGGATCACTTTGGGATCAAAGCAGCTCGCTTTCGGCCCAGTCCCCAGCTTTGTTCTCGCCCACCACGACTTGATGTTTCGTTCAGTGACAAGGTCGGTTTGTGGTATGCTCCGCGGCCCAGGATCC